CCCCAAAACCCCAAAACCCCAAAACCCCAAAACCCCAAAACCCCAAAACCCCGTAATATGAAAAATCTGTAGAAATTAATTAAATAACGTCATTACTAAATGGAAGTTGCCACAATTGAAAAGGCCAAGATTAGGATCCTTTGACTCCATGGATTCTTTAATAATATAGATGTAAGTCCTATTTTATTAAGAACGAGCACCAAGATATGTTTTTCTTTAGAAAACTTTGCTTGGTCAACACTCAGCTTTGCTTTACTAATTTATGGTGTAGACAATGAACCATCAACTACGACATTACAGAAAATTGTTTGATAAATACATCAGTTTTGTTCCGATCAACGGTCCTCATGAATGCACTGATGTGTTTGACAAGAAGATCGCTGAAATGTTCAAGCCTCCATTCTTCGGCTGGTATTTTTACAATCCAAAAACAAATGAATGTAAAGGCATTGAGGAATCCATCCAATATATTGTTCAATACATAAACACGCACGGGCCATTTGACGGAGTGCTTGGGTTTAGCCAAGGAACAATAATGGCCAGAATTATTCTCAAACTATCAGAATTTGAAAGCGAAGTTCCCAAAATTGAAGTTGGTGCTCCAAAATTTGGAATCGTTTTCTCTGGAATTTTTACAGAGAAAGCTAAATACTTTTCCAAATGTAAGGAAGACTCGCTAAACATAATGAATGAGTATGAACAACCAATGCTTTATGTTTATGGAGAGAAAGATCCTCTGATTGAGTATGTTGAAAAAGCCTTAGTGAAAGAGGGAGACTTCACTATCGTCAAGCATCATTACGCCCACAATATCCCAAAGTTGAGAGGAGAATTTTTAAAAGAGTTTTGTAGTTTCTTTGATAGAATGTATTACAACATCATTGGAAAGCACATGGATTTAGATTTTGGTGATTTTAATACATAAAGTTAATAATTTCATTCAACCTGTTTCAGAAATAATGGGGTTTTGGGGTTTTGGGGTTTTGGGGTTTTGGGGTTTTGGGGTTTTGGGG